AGGTGAGCATGAAGGATGGACAATCTTCGGGGATTTTAGATTGGGAACACAATAAAACACTAACACTCAAGGATTTGGGAATAGTCAGACGCCTGCTAATATCGATGATTCGTTTTTAGATCGAATCAATGAATTGTTAAACGAATTCAATCAATGGCACCAGCGTGACCAAGAAGAACAATAACGTCGTCTATCATTTTATTTTTAGATCATATGTTACTAATTTTATACTTTATTGTAGTCTATGTATGTTGATATACTTATTCCATGATAATTCTATGTTTATCCTTTTGTGTGATGTAAATTAAATGCTGAATGGCGGTTCACGCAGGGAAAGAACATATCAATATTCGCATATTCATTCAAAAACATGAAAATTCTTAATGGAGTACCTTCATTTCTTATTGAATTCCTAAAAAATAATATTTATAATGAATTTTAATAATTTTTTCGGATTTTTTTTAAGCTTTATTTTGACCGATTCACCCGATTCCCGATCCGGATCGCCGATTCGCCGATCCGGATAGGTTTCTTAGAAGCCCGATCCTGGTCACCGATCCGTTTTTTAAACCATTGGTTGGTACAATAGTTGAACTTCCTATTGGAACAATAATTACTCGGACCAAACCAACAATCCGACTGGCAAAATTGAAAAATTGGTAACCTGACCTTGTTTGGTCTGACAAGAGCACTAAGCCGGTATTTCTGGGGAACATGTCGAAACTGGTAGTTGACCGATTGAACCGGTTTGACAACCAATTTTGTCAGTTCTTTTGAATGAACAGACCCAATCTTTGCCCCCACCTTCCTTGTTATTTTTTGGCTTGATTTTTTCTATTTTTTTCATCTTTTTTATTTGGATTGCACATTATATTTTATTTTCAAAATCTTTAATCCAAAAGAGCTCAAGATTTTGGCAAAAAATCATTACCCTAAAGAGTTAAAGGTTTTTCTTACCTACCATTTTAACATGCATTCTTCATTTTTTTGTTGCATTTTTCTTTTTTGTTTAAATATTTCTTTCCCACTCTTTAGAGCCATTTGTTTTCTCTCTCATTAACGGGGACAAAATCGCACCTTGTTCTTCTTTAGTGATGCATTTCAGCTTTATAAATAATGACTCATAGTTTTATAAATACCCTTTCAAACTTTCAAGAGTATTTTGGTCATTTTATTTTATCGAAAATTTTTTATATATATTTTTCGTTAGTGCGAGTTTAATAGAGGAATGTACGTCCAAAATTTGGTGTCAAAATAGTTTATAGAAAAAATAAATAAAAATAAAATTGAGTAGAGACGAGACATTGTGATTGGGGCAATCTTAACCCACCATTCAGAAGACGAGACATTGTGATTGGGGCAATCTTAACCCTCCATTCAGAATGGACGATTGGATAAGGGGGATGACAGAACTTCTATGCTGTAGGGGAAGCATAGAAAGCTTGGCCAAATATTTATACAGTTGCATATATGATATTTATATATCTACAATATATGTTCGCATATTTACTTACACGTATGCATATTCCACAGATATTTTACACATACAATTGCTTATGTAGATGCATGTGTGCATCCATTTATGTACGTCTCCACTATGGATATATTTTTAGGAAAATTGTTTCATGCAAGTTGGACTGCATTTCTACTCATGCGGTCCAGAAAGTGTAAAGCATCCATCTTAAAGATGGATGCAAGTAGGTGTTCCATCTAAAAAGAATGGAAATGAATGATCCAAATGTTTTCTTACTAGAATTACTATTTTTAATTTTTAAGATTTATTTATTTATTCATATTCATTATCTCCATGTTAGAGATTACATGTCCTTTAAAATAAAGTCTTAAGATCTATCTCAAAAATAAATTTATTAAGAGGCCCGCATTTCTATATGAGTGTTTCGCCGAATAGAAACCGGGTCCTATATTTGTTTATATGTATATTTGCATGAGTATATGGACATGTGTATATGCACATGCGTGTCAAAAACTCCAAATTGATAATGGGGACCATTCATTTAAATTGTGAAATGTACCAAAATTTGGATTTTTCCTTGCCCAAACATGGATCATCGAGTGTATCATTCAAGAAAGAAATCCATTCAAACAATCTACATGGACCACAACCCCCTAAAAACTCCACAAACACAATCTCTCTCTCTCTCTCTCTCTCTCTCTCTCTCTCTCTTTGAATATGCATTTTTTTGGCATCTACAATAAGGGTTGGATCAAATCCCCTAGTTTTCTAAGCCATAACCAAGACAACTGTTGAATGAATTTGCTTCCTTCTTTAGGGTCATCTATATAACCAAGTGTGCCATTTCTGAGGGGTTACATTCTCTCTCTTTGAGCTTATACTTTCACTCTCTTAGCTTTGGAGAGAGAAAAATTGATCAAACATTGGGGAATTTTCAGGGCGAAATGTCGATGGGGTTGTTCGCTTTGGTTGTTTTCATCGCAATTCTTGGGCTTGGTGGTGGTGCTTCAGCATGCTCTGATGGAACTTGCAAGGTTTGTGGCATGGTTGAAATTTCTAGCCTTGGGTGTCAAATTTTCCCATGCGGTTGTGGCTTGGAAATTTCTCATATTTTGTTGGCTTTCCAATTTCTCAAGCATTTGCATCCAAATTTTGGTCCAAAGTCTACCTTGCTTTGATGCAGTGTTCAATTGCATGAACCGGCGTCTGAACCTGGCCATGGGCCGAGTCCAAGTAACCTGGAAAAATATGAAAAGTATATTTAAAGTACAATTAAACAAAATACATGCATATGAGGTTAAAAAGGAAGTGAAAAAATATATTTTAAAAAATCAATTTGTGCCCAAAGGTATGTTAGAAATAATTCAAAAAACCTATAAGGATGTAAGAATAAGTATTTATGGGCAAAATACTTCCCAATGTTTTCTAAAACAATAAAAAAATTAAAAACCAATTAAAAAAAATTTCTTTTTTTTTAGGATTTTTTATAATTTTTTTGAAATTATTTTTAAGTTATGGTGGTAAAGCTGGTTGACCACCCTAACCGACCAAAACCAGCCATAGGTAGTGGCCAGTTCTAAATAACCCGGCTGGTTCCTGTTCAACCTGACTGTGTTGTGGAACACTGCTTTGAAAAGACATTCTTTTTTATTCAAGTTGTTATTATTATTATTATTATTATTATTATTATTATTATTATTATTATTATTATTATTATTATTATTATTATTTTCTTTTATTTTATTTTTTTTCTAAATTTTTTGTTTGAGATTTTGGCATTAAACAGAGATTGGAAGACTAAAAGCAAAGGAGTTTGGATAAGTTTGCTTGTTTTTTTGTCATATTTGTTGCCAAATTGCAAAGTTTTACTCCCTTTCACACTCATTGATATCTTTGTCTCCCTTTTAATAACTCTCTCTCTCTCTCTCTCTCTCTCATGCACACAAATTGATTAAAATCTTTATCTTCCTTTTGATCTCCCTCTCTCTCATTAATTGACATTTTTTGTTTTCCTTGTAATTTTAACAGCTTCTTGATAACTGTAGCACCGACAGTGACTGTGAAGCGGGACTGTATTGTGGGTCGTGCGTGGTGGGATTTAAAGGGTCCAGATGCATCCGCTTAACAACTTCTAACCCCTTCTCTCTTGTGGTAATTTTGATCCCATTTGCGCTTTATTCAAAAAAATAAACGTTCTCCATTATTTTTATTTTTATTTAATATCATTTTCTTGTGTTAGTCATGGTTGTTGTAGGTTCGGTTAACTTTTTTCACCACCTTCAAACAAGGATGTCCCCCACTTGAATTTAATGGCCCTTTAATATGTCATCAAAGTAAGCTCTTTGGGAAAAAAAAATAAAATAAAATAAAAAGGAGTTTGCATGAAAAAGAAATATATGATAGAGCGTTTTACTTTGAAAAAATATACAAAGAGACCATTTATTTTTAGCTAATCGCAATCACTCTTGTCTTTTAAATTTCAAATTGGGTGGTTTTGAGCATGTCATTTACGAGATTCAAAGAATCAAAGTTCAAACAAAAAAACAATTTATGAAACTTTGCCATTGACCCCAAAAGATCCAATTTTACATTTAATTTTGGCCTCCTTATAAGAAAGATAAATGGTCTCATATTATATAGTCTTTTTTACTTTTTATACCAAAAAAATCACAACCAAATTGTCGAGGATGTGTCATTGACTATGTTCAAACTTCATATGATGCGGTAGATTCCTTGAGAAAAATCCTGTCAAGGAATATTATGGAACCAAAAGTAAGAGAATGTAAACTATTCACCATGGCGACCTAATTTCTAGAGAGAGAAAACCAGAAAGAAAGTCATGTGCCTTCTTTTTCCACTATTTTTTTTTTTGACAAATACTCGTACTCTTTATTAAAGTGCTAAAAGGGGATTACATCATGAGAAATAGTAGAAGAGGAGAGGTTAACACCACCCTTGCCCAGAGAATCAGCAACGCCATTTGCTTCTCGATACATATGGTAGAAGAAAACCGTCAAGTTGGTTATCGCATCCAAAATCTGCAACCATAAAGAACGCAGTTCCCATGAAACCCTCTGTTCCTTCTTATACCATTTGATAGAATTTAAAGAAACCCCTTCAATGACACAAATAGTACCCACATTGCTACGAATGAAAATTTTCATACCCCTTAACAAAGCAGTAAGTTCCGCGCAATTAGCCGTGGTTACACCGATTGGTCCAGCATATGAAAAAATTACATTTCCATAGCAATCTCAAACAATACCACCAATACTTGTTGGTCCCAGGTTCCCTAGAGAACTGCCATCAAAGTTTAGCTTAAAATTGCCTATGGCTAGGGCATGCTACAAACCTTTAGGCCTACTAGAGCACAAACCCATAGCAAAAAGATTGGGCAGATTTATCATAACATCCACCTTAAAAATACCCCAGCCATCCTTTACCACCGAAAGAGAAGACCAACTAGAGAGCTTAATTAAATGAATAAGTTTATCAACCGGTAAAGCTACAGCCTCAAAAGTCCTTTTATTTCTCTCCTTCCTTACTTCCTAAAGTATCATTCCTCTTGCTATCTTCCAAATCATACTACCAATCTTCGAAAGAGAGGGAATACCAAATTGCGATATAATATCGATAACATTCCGGGGAAGTGTTAACACAAATCCTACTTCACCAATTAACCAATGCCAAATCCTCAAGGTATAGGGGCAATGAATCAAAAGATGGTCAACTGACTCGCCATTCGATTTTCAAAGCAAGCAAATATTAGGTAAAACCTTTCCCCTTTTTTGCAAATTATCAATAGTTAATATCTTATTATGCGAAGCTAACCATATGAAGACTTGGACTTTATGTGGTATTGGTCACTTCCAAATTTGCACAACCCTGAAAGATAACCATCTCCAATGATCATGGAAAAAATGTTATAGCAGGATTTAACTGAGAACATACCATCCCTTTCAATTTCCCAAACCAATATATCTTTTGCCCCTTGGGAAATATAGACTTTATCCAACAATTCCAATAACGCACACCACTGAGACAATAAAACATTGTTCATTCGTCTATGCATAAGGGGTATATCCCACGAAAACAACTGTCATCTTCTCTCGAAGACATCACAAACTTTATGATTATGATTAGATACTACCCTAAAAAGATTAAGGAAAACAGACTTCAGATGATACTCTCTAAGCCACATATTATGCCAGAACAAAATTTGATCACTCCCACTCACATTCCATCTAAAATAGCCCGTAATCTTACTCCTGCAATTAGAAATCGCCCGCCACATATAAGACACATCCTTACGATTACCAACTCCAATCTACATATTAAACCTCTCCATCATATAATTTGTCCAAAGAACTCGATACCAAAGATGATCCTTCAAATTGAAACTACACTACCACCATTTGCATAACAAAGCCTGGTTAAATCTCCTAATATTTCGAATTCCCAAACCACCTTCATGCTTGGGAGTACAAACTCTGTCCCACTTTAATAAATGAAATTTCCTACACTCTCCACTCGAACCCCACAAGAAATCTTTCATCATCTTCTCAATTCTTTTTGCCACCGAAGCTGAAATATGAATGATCGACATCTGATACACATGCAATTTGCCAGACAGGACCTTAACAATGTAACCCTTCTCCTCAGAGATAAATATTTATACTTGTACAAATTAAGCTGGATTTGTATTCTCTCAATCACCCTATCCCAAATTGCAATAGAGAATTTTGAATATGAAGTAGGAAGTCCCAAATAGGTAATAGGAAAAGAATCCACTTTACAGCCCAACACATTAGCCAAGTCACACACCAAAGCCTCGTTACAATTAATTCCCACTAATGAGGACTTATGAAAATTAACTTTAAAAATGTCACTTCACATATCTCCAAAAATCTCACCATATTCCTTACTTGTATAGTCTCAGCATCAATAAAAATTAAAGTATCATCAACATATTGTAATTTGAAAAACCCTCAAAAGCCCCCAAATTCTCCACCCTACTAAGCATCAGACTAAAACATTCAACATAAATTGTGAATAAGAAATAAGAAAGGGGGCCACCTTGACGTAAGCCTCTCAAAGCAGTAAAAAATGCAATCGGACTGCCTTTGAATACTACTGAGAAGTGTGCAGAAGATAAACATCACAAAATCCTTCTCCTCCAAAGGGCTATAAAACCCATATTTTTCATAATTTCTAGTAGTACACCCCACTCCATCCTGTCATAAGCTTTTTCCATATCAAGTTTAAGCAAAATGCCAGCCCTTTTACTCAAGATTGGCGAATGAATGCATTTTTGAGCTACCAGCACACTATCAGTAATTTGGCAGTCCTGTATAAAGGCATAATATGTAGATGAAATAATGAGAGAGAGGACTTCCTTGAGATGTTCCATCAAGATCTTAGCTATAATCTTGTAGACACTTGTGAGCAAACTAATAGGTCTAATATCATAAGGCTCATTGATCATTGAATTTTTAGGTATCAATGCCAAGAAAGTGGAATTGATGCCCTTAAAAATTTGACCTCTGATCATAAATTCTCTAACTACCTCTAACAAATCATCTTTGGTTAGATTCCAAAATCTTTGGAAAAAAACCAAAAGAAAGCCATCCGAGCCCGGCGCCTTATCGCTAGGCAAAGCAAAAATAGCATGTTGCAGTTCTTGAACAGTGATTTCTCGCTCTAAAAAGCGGCATAGCTCTTCATTCAACATTTTAAAAGGAGCATTCGGAAAACTTGGTGTCATCACCACCTCTTTAGCAAAGACTTTCTTAAAATGATTAATGACACCCACTTCCATGACAGCATTATCCTCAGAATCTAACCTATGGATATTCAGTCCCGAAATATCATTATGTCTTCTTCTGACACTAGCAATGGCATAGAAAAACTTAGTATTGAGGTCACCTTCTTTTAATCACTTATTCTTAGATCTTTGTTTCCAATAGATTTCCTCATATCTCATCAAATCTTTCAACTCCATTTTCACCCCACGTTCCACCACCAGCTACTTAGTTAAATGAGAGAGAGGACTTCCTTGAGATGTTCCATCAAGATCTTAGCTATAATCTTGTAGACACTTGTGAGCAAACTAATAGGTCTAATATCATAGTGCTCATTGATCATTGAATTTTTAGGTATCAATGCCAAGAAAGTGGAATTGATGCCCTTAAAAATTTGACCTCTGGTTATGAATTCTCTAACTACCTCCAACAAATCATCTTTGGTTAGATTCCAAAATCTTTGGAAAAAAACCAAAAGAAAGCCATCCGAGCCCGGCGCCTTATCGCTAGGCAAAGCAAAAATAGCATGTTGCAGTTCTTGAGCAGTGATTTCTCGCTCTAAAAAGCGGCACAGCTCTTCATTCAACATTTTAAAAGGAGCATTCGGAAAACTTGGTGTCATCACTACCTCTTTAGCAAAGACTTTCTTAAAATGATTAATGACACCCACTTCCATGACAGCATTATCCTCAGAATCTAACCCATGGATATTCAGTCCCGAAATATCATTCTGTCTTCTTCTGACACTAGCAAGGGCATAGAAAAACTTAGTATTGAGGCCACCTTCTTTTAACCATTTATTCTTAGATCTCTGTTTCCAATAGATTTCCTCATATCTCATCAAATCTTCTAACTCCATTTTCACCCCACGTTCCACCACCAGCTACTTAGTTAAAACTCCGCTTGTCTGAGCATTAAGATCCAACACTTCAATATCAGCTAAGACCCCATCAATCTTACCCTTGAGATCGAATTTATTTTCCTTTTTCCAGGCAATCAATTTGTGTTTGACACTTATCAATTTTTTGTGTAATTGAAAATCCAAAGAACCCACCCCCACAGAATTTGACCAAGTTCTTTTAATTATCTCAACCACTTTTAAATTTTCTAGCTAGCTAACATCAAATCTGAAAGGTTTCGACCCTCCTCTGAGAGACCTCGTATTTAGAAAAATGGGGAGGTGATCAGATGACAACTTCGCCAAGGCTTTAACTGATACCAACGAAAATGCCTCCATCTACTCCGGAGCCAATAAAAACCTGTCTAATTTAGACATCGCCAAAAAAACAATACTATTATTGGACCAAGTAAACTTAGATCCAATAATAAGATGATTTATAATAGCATTGCTCTCGATGAAAGAATTAAAATTTCACATATAAGTGTTAATTGGGTATCCTGCGAGGGACTCATTCGGCCACCTAATAAAATTAAAATCCCCCCTATCACCACAGGATAATGAAATGTATGGATAAACTCATTCATCTTAAAAATAAAAGCAGACAAAGTAGAAGAAGTAAGCCCATACACATTCATATAACCTCAAGAAAACCCAAAGTAGGGCCATTGAAACCCAAAAGTAAGCAATTGTTTTTTACAACAGTCTCAAAATTTTTGACCACCAGTGGGTCCCACAATACCCAAATACCACCAGAACTACCTACTGCATCAATCCCACAAAAATAGACTCCACCTGAGCCCCAGACTTCCCTAGCCCTAGAGAGAGTAGGACTTGGAAGTTTGGTCTCTTGTAACACCAAAATCACAGGTTTGTATTTCGAAACCAAAAACAAAACATCCATTTTTCTTCTACTGTCCCCTAACACCCTAACATTCCAAGACAAAATATTCATAAAATTAAGGAGAAGAGAAAGAAGAGGAACCTGGTCCAGAAGGACCGCCCCCTAAAAACATATCTTCCAGCATCCTCTCATCATTGGCCTCATCATTATCAGCATCAAAGGAAGAAGATGAATTCAGATTCACCACCACAGGGCCGCGAAACACAATTACAGCATTCGCCACCAAATAGCTACCTTTCGAGACCCCACGCGCCTCCAATCTAGCCGATGACCGCACCCCTCTTTGTAAAACCTTCTTAGACTTGCCAGAAGCCGCCCCTTTACCCTTCATAGTCGGCGTCGCCTCCAGTCCACAATCTATCTTCTCTACAGGAACCATCGGCGAGTCTATCTTGTTCTCCACCACTTTCTTTGCTTCAAGGCGTTTCTTAATCTCCGCCAAAACCACTGCAAGGGGCACATCTCCCATCCCATATCTATCGCCACCTTTGCCACCAAAGCAACTTCATCATCATACTCAATGAGGGAATCAAAAACCTGGCTAGTTGGAAAATAAACACCTAAAGGTTGGGCCGCCGGAGATACGACTACAACCAACTCATTGTGGCCCATAACCTCCTCCTGGAGAAGAGCATTGTCAATAAAAGGCCCCTCTTGAATATCAATAGCAACACTAGGGGCCGAAAACTCCACCGGATTATTTTCGGTAAGAAGCTGAGGTTCATCAGGGTCTACCACCAATATGGCTAGAGGTTCAATCAAAAGAGAGTCAAAACGGGAGCGGCTCTTCTTCGTTTGGCCCTTTGCTGTCGCCAAGCGGAAGAGTAAAGGATGCATCTTTGAGTTACGGAAGAGAAGTAGTAGCAAACCACACCAAGCTTTGCCCACTTTATTCCTATGCACCAAGAGAAGCACCAGTGAGAAAATAGGCGAAGACCCCTTGAACCTTCCACTATCTACATCTGAAACCCTAGCCATCGGTTTGACGTGGTTTAAGGAAGGAAAGGAGATTGCCACCACTTGTACTGCGCAGCCTTCCCCAAAACCTCCTTTAACTATGCTGCAGATTTCTAAATCACTAGCAGATTTCTTCGGAAAACCAAGCGTCGTCACAGATTTCTTTCGCACGCCATCACAAGAAGAGAGATGTTGTGGACCCGCAAGACCATTGGGAGGATTCAACCCAAACAATGTTCCCGTAAGACATCATCCATAATCCAATCTTTCGAAATTGTAGGAACAGTATCCAGAAAGACCGCCTTCTGTTTGGTCAACCCACTAGTAACTCCCTTTTCGAAATCCTGCCGTTTACTGATGAATTTTGAAAGTCCCGTAGATGAAACAGGAAACCTACGCACCATAATCCATCATTTTAAAATTCAAAATACCTGGAATTACGGCGGTAGCTTCTGTTAGACTTCAAATTTTTGGCAATAACAAAACTGGTCGACGACTTCCTCTTCTCCGGCTTATTCTGCAGAACATCCTTAAAGCTAACACCAGTAACCTTGACAATCTCGGGAGCACAAATAGATTTCTCAGAAGCACAAGAAATCAAAATCTCAAAACAATCATTAGCAATAATAAAAAAAAACTTTCTCCGAGAGAGGGGCACATTTTGCTTTCATAATCTTAACTCGGACAACTTTGCAACCTTGACTAAAAAGGGAGTCCTAGATTAGGTCGCAGAAAGACCCAAAACCACCCACAATCCTTTTGATAATAGCCAAATTCCAGGCATAGAGAGGGATTCCGCAAAGATCAATCCATGGTGATTCTTTCTATAGAAAGAAGCCATGATCTGAGGGTTTCCATAGGTCTAAGGATAGCAAGCTTCCTCGGATTCTACAAAAGCAGTTTTGGAGAGCTCTACGGAACTCGTCCTTGGATCGAAGTTTAAACACCATTTTGTTGAACCCAATAACCTTAACATCAGGAGCTATGAAAGGTTCCAACCCCTCTTAGCCCATCAACAAACCAAAGAAACCAGAAATGGGGGGTGAAAAAGATCTAAACACAAATAACTCCGACTTGATATCTAGCTTCTCAATACACACAGAAGGACACAAAAAATCACCTGAACCTGTATCAACAGAAGAACCCACAACCATCATTACCTCCACTAAGACTCTTCATCAAGCACCCCAGCTCAAGCTCTTAGCTTGAGGGTTCCATGGATTCCTTCATTCCTTTAACTAAGATGCTCCTTACCAAGCATTATGGGACATGACTAGGGCCGGGTCAGTCAGACTGGTTTGATTTAAAATAGGTCTAGGTTTGGACCTGGACTTTTCTGTCTTTTCCCACTATTACGGATACAGAAATAATGGAAACATTGGCTTCAATTGTCAACTATGTATATCCTATCGGAAATAGGATCAACTATGGATTCGAGCCATAGCACATGGTTTCATAAAATCTATACGATTTTCTTGATTTAAATTGAGTAGGTTTTACATGAAGAAAATTATGTTCAACATGTTCTAATCGATACTAGTAGGAGAAGAACCGGATCGATATTGTTAAAAAGAAGAACAGAGGAAGCAGAACCAATTCAAGATGATACGAATCAAGCCATTCTTCTTGTGCTAAAGATCTTAACATTTCTGGAGGAGCTGGAGCTGTGCCTGACAAAAATAACTTCCTAAGATTGATTGCAGACCGTTTAAATTTTGGATAGCTAGATCTAATTGTTTAGATACTCAAAATTTCTTTATTGTCCTTTAAAATATCATTGTATAATTGCAAATAATTACTAAAAGTTTATATCAAGAAAATTCTCCTAAGATTTTGCCTCATAAAATAAATTTACAATGTAGTCTCAAGAGAGCACACTAATTTTTAGATTATTCTTCTTTTGAGAGAAAGAGAGAGCTATCTAAAACATACACTAGATTACTACACAAATTTTTTTGTGAGAGTACATAATAAGAGAGAGAGATATATAACATATGGGAAATGTTTCTATACTTGCCCTATAGCATAGAAGATCTATGCTTTCTCTACCATCCAGCCATTCAATTTTGATCAAGAGAATCACTCACCGTTTGATCTTAGATCAAATGTCTCAAAGTATTTTATTTTTAATTTTTTAATACAAATTGCATGAATATGAAATTTGGTACGTGCCATATGGTCATTAGGGCGCACCTATAAATAATATTAAAAATAGTTTTTCGATAAAATATAATTACCAAAATACCCCTTAAAATTTTTTGGGGTATTTTGGTCATTTTATTTTATTGAAAATATTTTTTTTATATTTTTCGTTCATGCGAGTTTAATAGATGATTGGATGTCCAAAATTTGGTGTCAAAATAGTATATAGAAAAAAATTAAAAATAAAATAGTGTAGAAACGTGACATTGTGATTGAGGCTATCTTAACTCTCCATTCTGAATGGACAGTTGGATAAGGGGAAGTATATAAGTTTTATGCTCTAGAGAAGCATAGAAAACTTTCCCATAACATATATATTAGATTTTTTTAATTAATTTGCATTGTGAAACTAAACATGAATTAATTTTTTGGAGCTATATAACCTATATATTAGATTTGTTTAATTAATTTGCATTATAAAACTAAACAAGAATTAATTTTTTGGGAGTACAGAATAATTCGTTGCCCTACAATAAATATGGATTCCTCACAACGCATAACTCGTATGCCATCGATGGGGAGCCTTCTCACACCGGGGTCCCTCGCATCACCTTCACTAACCAAGAGGACACTATCACTCAACAACTAAATGTAAATCTCTTACACTCTTCATTTCTATAATAACTCCTTTTTTTTTTACATGAAAAGTATAACGTAATGAAGTCACAATCACTCTTGTCTATTATATCTCAAATCGTGTCGTTGTGAATATATCATTGACTATACTCAAAGTTTAGAAAAAAACCTCTCGAACTTTATGATATGCCCCAAGCCATCGCCCTTTGACATTGTGGCCTCCTTGCAATAAAAATAAGGGATTTTATACTATGAAACTATTTATATTTGTTACAAGGAGGTCACAATCCCTTATTTTTATTACAAGGAGGTCATAATTGTCACTAGCCATTATATGTCGAAGCTGAACGGCTTGGGGTGTGTCACAAAGTTCGAAGATTTTTTTTTTTTTTAAACTTTGAGTCTAGTCAATGGCACGCTTGCAACGATCCGATTTTAAATTTGATGGACAAGGTAATTAAGACCTCTTTGAATGAAAAGTAAATAATCTCTTGCATACTTTTCCTAATGATATATATGGTATACAATCCTTTGTTTCTCCCCATTTTGAATGGAAAATTTTTTGATATCTAATTTGGGTTCAAATTTGTTGACATAGAATGGTGCTCGAGCGTTGATGCTTGACACGTACGATTTTGAAGGGGATGTGTGGCTGTGTCACTCTCGTGGGGGCCAATGCTTTGATGTCACTGCATTTGTGAGTATAAAGAATACTTTTTTTTTGTGCAGTCCAAGTGTAAGGTTTTGGGTAGTATACTTTCATATGAAATATTTTCTCGGCTCGGTTGTATAAGGTGCCAATCTTAGTATGAGGCACCTCAAGATCTCGTTAAAAGATGCATTTTTGGTGTCGGAAACCATTATGATGGCCTTAAAATATATTTTCAATCTTAATTATAAAATTTATAACTTTAAAATAAGAAGAATTGCTTTATGTGGGCTGGACCGCATTTCTACAATATATTGTTTCGAGGTATAAAGCATCCATGTTAAAGATGGATGCAAATAGGTGGTCCATCTAAAAACAATTGTAACTAACAATCCAAATGTTTTCTTAATGTAATTATTATTTCCAGTTTTCAAGTATTAATTTTTTCGTATTCATAATCTCCATGTTAAAAATTATATATTCTCTAAAACTTACGATCAAATTATATTTAATAAATATATTTATTGCCAAGCCTGCATTTCTACAATATGCGGGTTGGCCGTATGCTAACCACGTCCTTAAAATAATATAAGTCCAACAAATCTATCAACACTGAACAAATTTTAAAAATGGATGGTCTAGATGCTGTGTGATAAGATGTACTATTTTTAAGACTTGAAATTGTCGTTTTTCAATATCAATACATCTCGAGGTTGAGATGACTAATTGTGCAGATTTCTGACATCAAAACAACTTTTTCAAGTAGAATTTGAGGAGCACCTAACTTCTAAAGTACAATTTGACACCTTAATTGTTTTGTTTGCCATGTAGCATACTTGGTCAAGTTAATAATCTTTCCCCCAACATTAGTTGTTTTTTATTTTTTTGGCTGTTGGATAGTTATTTGATTGCTAGTAATCCTAAGGAAAAACCCTATGCATGGTTATCTTTAGGACCTCAGAACTTGAGGATATAACCTCTTCAATCTAGTTGACAAATTTCAACAAAAAAAGAAAAAGAAAAACAGAATCAGTCACATTCTATGTTCGAAAAAATAATATCCCAAGATTGAATAGAGACAGTCCAGATTCTGGATAGTTAGATCTATGCGGTTTAAAACCCCAAAGCCAATTTTCCCTTTTGAATATTGGTGATTGTAAATTAGATCTCAAAGTTTCATGTTAAAATAAAAATAAAATTATCCTAAGAGCTCTTTGCCCCAGGGGAGTAAGTATATAATCATAATGTGATTATATGTTCATTATTTTTAACAAAATCTAATCTTTTTATGCATTTTCTAAGGGACCTGCAAATGATACAATGCAAGAAATTGAGGCATTTTTGGCCGCAAACCCATCAGAAATCGTCACCTTGATATTGGAAGATTACGTAAATGCGCCGAACGGCTTAACAAAAGTCTTCAATGAGTCCGGATTGTCCAAGTACTGGTTCCCACTCTCCAAGATGCCAAAAAACGGCGAGGATTGGCCTCTCGTTAGCGACATGGTGGCCGCTAACGAGCGCCTCCTGGTGTTCACGTCCAAGGCCTCAAAGGAGCAGACCGAAGGGATAGCGTACCAATGGAACTACATGGTCGAGAACCAGTGTAAGCATCTATCTGATATTCTTTAGTTCTAGAAGGGTGATTTCGTCATTTTTTGTTACAATTTCTATGGGTTAAAGGGAATTGAGCCTCGGTTGGCTGCCATCAAGGTTTTAAAAGATTATCGTTTTCGTCCGCATTCATCCGATCTGGATTGGGTATCATCGGAGGCATTTCGGATCTGTGAAAATATTGGTATCCGGCTGTGTTATTATAAAGAGTTACGTGTCATGACATCATGGATCGGACATATCACCGGTTCTCAAATGAAAATCGGATATGGTTTAAACACCTATTTTTTTTTGGGAAGTCATGGATTGGGTATCGTCGGAGGCATTTTGGATCTTTGAAAATATTGGTATTTGGCTGTGTCACTCTAGAGAGCTGCATGACATGACGTCATGAATCAAACATATCATTAATTCTCAAGTGAAAACTGAATATGTCACCGGTTTAAACACTTTTTCTTTTTGGGAAGCGGCATAAATATGAATTTTTTTAAAATATTTTAGCAAGTCACATAAATATGGAACAATGAAAAATGGACACGTCACCGGTTTAGCAATATGAATATTTTAAATTTTTTTGGGAAGTCGCATAAATATGAATTGTTTAAAAAAAAATTCTTCCCTTTTGTATTCCAATTGTCTTGTTAGCCACCCATCAAAAAAACATGCAACCTTGCTTCTCCGTCACAGACTCGTAGGAGATTGAATTCGTTTTGTAAGGCTCTTCCCGCAATTTTTCGATATGGGACAATATTATTTGTCTCTTCTTTCAAATAAGACAGCCATGCATATAAGGCTATTGAATAAGACGCTCTTTTCATATAAGGCTATTCAATAAGACGCTCTATTGTCTCTTATATTATAAGCTATTGAATAAGACACTCTTTTTTTTTGCAGCGGTTGTGTGTCTTTTCGAGAGGATTTTTATTATTATTATAATTTTGATATCTTTGATTTTCATTTCTTAAGATATTTTTTAAAATTTTCTTAATATCATAACATTAAAATTTATAAGAAGTTTTATTTTTATTTTTAGTCATATGATATAGAAGTATTTTTTTAATAATTTATTAAAATATTCTAATTAATAATTATACATTGATAATCAAATATTTTATTTTATTTATTAATGTATTTACATTATAAATTATTTAATATATATATTTTTTATAGTTGTAGATAATATTTTTTAAATTAGATGATATTATAAAACATTTTAGATTTGTTCTCACATAATTATAAAATATAAATTAGCAATTTCAATTTTAGTACGTAAAATTATAGTTAGTTAAGTTTTGAAAGTTTCGAATGAGTAAAGCGAATTAATAAATGTTTGATACGTTGATGTGATATTAATTTTATTTATATAATAAATTTTGTTTTAATCTTCTAATATGGAAGTGTTTTTTATTTATTTTTAAATAATTTTGATGCATTATTATATTTATATATTATAATTAATAAATATACATACATAAATAATGTCTTAGTATTCACCTATTTTTATAAAGTAATGAAAATACATAATGCACCACTCCGGATTTACTTTAGAATCTAAAAGAACACTTTTTTTAGATATTTATAGTGATTTTTTGAAAAACATTTGGGACAAAACTTGTCGATTCAGCCGATTTTGTGATCCGAGACATCGATCCAATGATCCGACACGGTTCTTGCGGTGGACAATCCGGGTTGCCGAGGGTAATTTGGTCATGGAATGTTTATTATGATTCCGACTATGGAAAGTTTCCTCCTAGTCCAGAAGGTCACTTCCAAATTTATGGTGGGACACACCCAAACTATTATATTTCACATTAGATAGTCATAAGTAATTATGACCTCGATGTTTCAATGATAAATGGTCCCCTTATATTCAATCTCAAAATAAAATTGAGCTTTTCTTCCCATTTGAATTAAGAAATCAAAGGGCGCTCTGTGTATTGTCATGGTCTCATTCCTAATTAATAAGTTCATTTCACGAACACCGAGTTGGTTTTTAGAAATTTGTCAAAATAACTGTTGATAGATGTATCAGTTGACATTTGACATTTATTTAGTACTAAATCTTCGTAATCATGTTTTTTGATGGGTATTTTAAAGTTAAATAAAATGATATGTACAAAATGCTAAATAGTTCATCACTCATGAGTATTTTGATAAATTTCCCTTTGTTTCAAACAACTTCTTTATTTGGAAAAGAGCATGTAAAGCTTACTCCTACGACAACACTTCGTACATCTTAAAAACTTTCTTCAGGATTTTGTGGATTTAAAGAATTTAAAATCTATACTTAAATTACAAGATAGTATTTTTGAGATACAAGGGAATTGAATTTTGAATTTCTAAACAGTTAAAAATTGATCAAAATCGGGTCGTTTATGTTCACTTTTTTGGTATTATTTTTTCCAGACACATATATAAGGCATTGTTATTATTTTTTTTAATATTCCTTGAAAATTGAAAACTTAGTCTATTTTCTTTCTTTGATTATGTGATTTCCTTTGCCTTCCTAAAAAATTTAAAATTTTCCTAGATAAGTTGAATCATTTCATCTATTTTCATTCTTTTCATGTGTAGTAGAACTTGAAATTTCTGTTTTTGTTTTCATTTCAATATTTCTCAATGATCACTTTGTCACAGATGGTGATGGTGGGATGAAACAAGGCCAGTGCACAAATCGCGGTGAATCGGCTCCTCTCAACGATCGAACTAAATCTTTGGTTTTAGTGAATTATTTCGGATCAATTCCAAATAAATGGTTGAGTTGCCAGTACAACTCTGATGATCTCCTCAACATGCTGCGCACTTGTTATACTGCAGCAGATAGCAGATGGGCGAATTTTGCAGCAGTAGATTACTACAAGGTTTGTTTTATATTTGAGCATAGATTTGATTCATAATACACAGAGCCTCATGCTATGAACATTTTGATTATAATTTCAATATAGTAAATAGTTTCTTTTGCTTGTAATTTTACTTTATATTTGTTGCTATCTAATATACAGAGAAGTGAAGGTGGTGGGGCGTTTCAAGCAGTTGACACACTGAACGGGAAGCTACTATGTGGATGCGATGATATTCACGCTTGTATGGTAAGAAATTGCTTCATGTCCCTTTTATCAGGGCTGGCTAGAATGGCCCTAACCCCAAAAGGACTGGCCTTGGCCTGGCCCTAGCCCTATTCGGACTGGGCTAGAGAGATTAAACAAATAAACGAGATAAACTAGAGAAAAGAGGGCCGAATCGGTCCAGCCTTGTCGTGGCCTAGGCCCTAGCCTTGAGCCATGGTAGCCTGGCCCATGCCCTAGCTTTTTAGGGTGGGGACAGGCCACCCTGCCCATTGTTACTTCTATCTCCAGGGGTGGCAACGGGTTGGGTCCAATCCAGGTCTGGGTTGACTCAAACCTAGACCTGGACCCGGACCTAGACCCAACTTGACTAAGCTTTTTATGGACTTGGACGCGACTTGGACCTAAGTCAGGCCCAAGTCATTCGGACCCAAACCCGAGTCTAAAAATTTAAAAAAATTGGAGTTACATTTCATTTTTAAGTACTAGTAAAAATATGGGTGTGGTTTGCATATAAGGTTGCAACCTTAAACAATCCAATTAAAACGCACCTCTATATTTTATCATAAATATAATTTTAATATAAAAAATTATTAGTCTCGATAATCTATTTTCATCTTTAATTATAAAATTCTGAACCCTAAAAATGGTTCAAATCAAATATAAATAAACACATGAAAATCTTCAAAATAGGTGGTCCAGACAATGTGTTGCAAGATATACTATTTTGTGGACTCAAAATCTTTTTTTCATTTCATATTCATACATCTCGATGTCCATATGATCAATTAGAGGGTTTTCTAACATCCTTTTTATGATGGATTTTTGAGTTGCACCAAATTCTACATTTTAAGGTTGCATCTTTATGTAAACTTTTTCCTTTAAATATTTCAAACAAATATGAAAAAACAAGATAGTTGAAAGTTTTTAAAATTCATACTTCTTGAGGAAATTCACCAAAATTTTCTTTGAGAAAAATGGAGTTTTGGGTGGGCACACAAGTCTACATGTGCATGTGTTTGTGTGATAAAATAGCATTGCACACCTCCATAGTCAATTTAGTCATTTCTAATAATGTTTATATGATGGAAAATTGTTTCATGGGGGCTGGACCACATTTCTACATATGCGGTCCACAAAGTGTAAAAGATGGATACAAGTAGGTGTTCTATCTAAATACAATAGAAACTAATTGTCCAATTATTTTCTTACTAGAATTATTATTTTTAGTTTTTAAAATTTATTTATTTTTTCATATTCATGATCTCCATGTTAGAGATTACAAGCCCTTAAAAGTTAACTCTTACAATCCATCTTAAAAATAGATTTATCAAGAGGCCCGCATTTGTACATATTCAGGCTTGGCCGTATAGAAACCGGGTCCTTATATAATTAGGATGTTTTAAGGCAATCTCATAAAATATCTAAAATAATGTCGCCAATAATATCATTTTTATATTGGTAAGTATACTTGAAAAGATTTGAATGAAATACAAACACAATGGTATAAGAAGCAAACATATATAAATACAACACTATGGTGTTAAAGAGAAGGGTGAGGTTCGTACAAAGGTTGCCCCTTATACTGTAAAAGTAAGGTGCACTTATAAGATTTACTTAGAAATGTCGTTTCAGTGTAAAAACCTTATGATGGTTTCAAAATCTCTTTTTAACCTCAGTTATAACAATTAAAATTTCAACAATAGTACAGATCGAGCAGATTAAGAAACACTTGAAAATCTTGAAAATAGACAGTCCAAATAATTTGTTACAAGATGCACTATTTTTTTAACTTGAAATTCTTTTTTTTCTTCATGTCCATTCATCTCAAGGTCGAGATGATCAGTTGGAGGCTTCTACTATGCCAGAACACTCTCCACTGTAGGAATTTTTAGGAGCACCTTACTTCAACAATATAAGTTGCAATAAACTATTTCCTTGAGAGAAAATGCTAAATAGCTGGTATATTACATTTGATTTATGTGTTGTTTTTGCAGCCTGGATCTACTTCTGGAGCATGCAGTCCATGAGCCAGAGAGAGAGAGAGAAAGAGAGAGAGAGAGAGAGAGAGAGAGAGAGAGAGAGAGAGAGAGAGAGAGAGAGAGAGA